TGCGTTTTTGTAGCCACGGTCTGCATGATCGGATCGATGCGTGGAGAGTGGCTACGTCCCCCATGCCACGGCCCAGGCATGCAGAACGCAGGGGCTCCCTCTCTAATCCTCTTTCCAAATCCTTGTAATTTTGTGTTCTTCGCGCATGCATGCACGATATAAATTCCGGCTGCGCGATTAGTTAGCTCTCTTAACCAGCTGTTGGAAGCTCGGGGTTGCGCGATCAGAGAGGGTCGGCACATGAGCGAAGTAAGAGGTGAGTAGAGCAGGAGTCGGGCGACCCGACGAGCTGGTGCCAAACGCGCGGGGTTGACGAGGGCCACGACCGACTGTGGGCGCGGGCGAACCTGACGGGTGCGGGAGGACTAAGCGGGGTGACGGCTTCGTAGGTTGGTGCGCGACGACGGACTGTCCACATCGGAGAAGAAGAGAGAGGGAGAGAGAGTTGAGGTTGATGGACGTGGATTTGCTATTTCTTTTATCTTTTTTCCCTCCTATCTCGTGTACATAAATTTTGATTTCCGCTCCAGGTGATTTGCCCGTCTCTGTTTTTTTGGAATCCGGACTTGGATTTTTGCTCACACTTGTCTTCACGATTTCCATCTCCGAAGCACTGTGTGTATGTTGCTGAATGAATGGATGTATGAATGCCATGTTTGGTTGCTTATCATTCTGCCAGATACTTGCCTTTGCCTTTGTTTGTTGCATTTGATGCACTCGTGAGCAGGATAGGAGTTTTGCGCAATCGACGATCCTGTTCTCGCTTTTGCTTGTCTCTCGGCTGGGCTTTTGTGTTTGTTGCATCTTGCATACTCGAAAATTACGGAGCGATCAGACGATCGGATGTTTGGCCCAGCGAACGCCGYGCAAGGACGCGGGTAAACGCAATCTRAGTTGCGCATTTACACGCACCCCYGTGTGTCGATTTGTCAAACCCAAAAAGGACCATTGATTGCAGAAGCACCGTCTGATTGGACGCGGGCATCAAGGGTCCRCGACGAAGCAGTCATCCCATACGAACACAYGTAGGCGCGACTTGGCTCGCATGGCCTGCACGTGCTCGCATGCGGTGATCGCAATCGGCACAAACCCGCCCTTAGGCATCTTGTAGCTCTGCGATGACACGATGACACACTCAGAGAGCTCGGAGTCGTTGTTGTACAACCCAGACTACGTCACCCCCTGGGTGAACGAAATCCTCCGACAGAGATACCCTTGATTCACCGAGAACTGACTGTGTCCTAGGAAGTTTCACTGGGCCACCACTAGCGACCCCCGGTGCTTTGATTTCCCCAATCAGGACCACACCCACTACTTCACCCACTCAGGCTTTGTCGTTATCYCCACCAGCTTCCCTCCCTTTCGCCTTCTTCTTCCGTATCACCAACTCACCGTCGTCCCGTGGAAGGCCATAGACCCATACTGGCCCAGCACGCCTTGCGGAAATTGCCGACAACGTGGCGAYCAGAGGACCCCGGACTTCCGGAGGCCTAACCCGAACGCGCGATGATCGGCGCCACATGGCAACTCCCGACAGCCCGGCTCATAAAAACCCCACCCACCCCGAAGGGACCTCCCTGCAAATCGCCGTCCTAGGAACCAATGGGTCGCCCGGCCTTGAGCGACCCGCGCATACCATCTRCCTTGTGACCAAAGGCGGTCCGCCCTCTTCGCTRAATTGCACTTGTGACCCCGAAAAACCCCGCCACAAGAGATCTCAGTTCTGAACTGGGACTCCACCCCCACTTTCCCAAAAATCCTTGGCACACCCCTTTTCGCACTTCCAAGCCCACATCCCACTCCGATGAGGAAGTCGTGCWRGGCGTGAGGTTGGGCGTCACAGCAGTCTGACCCGTCCAGCGACTATTTTCCCAAATAGGGTATCCCATTTTWWWAAARAAATAYGATTTTGGGTACGCTGTGGCGCCCCAACCTCACGCCCAACGCGACTTCTTGATCGGARTAGGATGTCGGCCTGGAAGTGCGAAAAGGGGTGTGCCAAGGATTTTTGGGAAAGTGGGGGTGGAGTCCCAGGTTAGAACTGAGATCTTCTATGGYGGGGTTTTTCGRGCGCACGAGTGCAATTTGRTGGAGAGGGCGGACCGCCTTTGGTCACAAGGCARATGGTATGWGGGGRTCGCTCAAGGCCGGGCGAGCCATTGATTCCGAGGACGACGGTTCACGGGGAGGTCCCTTCGGGGTGGGTGGGGTTCCGATGAGTCGGGCTCTCGGGAGTTGCCACGTGGCGCCGATCKCCACGCGTTTGGGTTAGGACTTCGGAAGTTCAGGGTCCTCTGGTCACCGCGACGTCTGCAATTTCCACAAGGCGTGCTGGGCCAGTATGGGGCTATGGCCTTCCACGGGACGACGCTGAGTTGGTGATATGGAAGAAGAACGGGAAAGGGAGGGAAGCTGGTGGAGATGACGACAAACCCGGGGTAGGTGAAGTAGTGGGTATGGTCTTGAGTAGGGAAATCAGATCACCTGGGGTCGCTCGTGGTGGCGCAGTGAAACTCTCGGGGACACAGTCTGTTCTCGGCTAGGCAAGGGTATCTCTGTCGAAGGACTTCGTTTACCCACGGGGTGAAGTAGTCTGGGTCGTATAGCAATAACTCCGAGCTCTCTGAGAGTGTCATTGTATCATTGCAGAGTTATGAGATGCCTAAGCGCGGGTCACTAGCGATTGTGATCTCCGCGTGCGAGCGCGTGTAGGCCACACAAATTAAATCGGTCTTACGCGTGTCCGTACGAGATAACTGCTCCGTCGCGGACGTTGAATGGCCACGTCCAATCAGACAGTGCTTCTGTAATCCATGGTCCTTTTGGGATTGACGAATCGACGCACAGGGATATGTGTAAGTGCGCAACTCAGATCGTGTTTACACGTGTCCTCGCGCGGCGTTCGCTGGGCCAGACATCCGATCATCTAATCGCTCAGCAACTTTCGAGCATGCAAGATGCAACAACCACAACAGCCCAGTCAAGAGGCAAGCAAAAACGAGAATAGGATTACCGATTGCGCAAAATTCCTATCCTACTCACGAGTGCATCAAATGCAATAAACAAAGGCAAGGGCAAGGATCCGATAGAAAGGTGAGTAATCAAACATGGCATTCATTCATTCAGTCAGCAACATACACACACTGGATCTGAGATGGAAATCCCAAAGACAAGTATGAGCAAAACCCAAATCCAGATTTCAAAAAACCAAAAACGTGCGATCTGAGCCGAAATCAAAATTTATATACATGAGACAGAAGGGAGAAAAGATAAAAGAAACTGCAAATCCGCGTCCATCAACCTCAGCTCCCTCTTCCTCTCTCTCTCTCTCCGATACGGACAGTCTCTCATCGCGGACCAACCCATGAAGTCGTCACCCCGCTTAGTCCTCCCGCACCCGTCAGGTTCGCCCGCGCCCACAGTCGGTCGTGGCCCGCGTCAACCCCGCGCGTTTGGCACCAGCTCGTCGGGTCGCCCGACTCCTTCTCTACTCACCTCTTACTTCGCTCGTGTGCCGACCCTCTCTGATCGCGCAACCCCGAGTTTCCAACAGCTGGTTAAGAGAGCTAACTAATCGCGTAGCCGGAATTTATAGCRTGCATGCATGCGCGAAGAACACGGAATTACAAGGACTTAGAAGGGAGATTAGGGAAGGAGCGCCTGCGTTCTGCATGAGCGGGCCGCGGCGTGGAGGTCGTAGCCACTCTCCACTCATCGATCAAATCATGCAGACCGTGGCTACCAAAAACGTAGCAAAAGAAAGAGAAGAAAAGCGGGAAAGACGAAGCACAAGAAGAAAGATACAGTTACAATGGTGCCAACCCAAAATTACAGTTACACACCCGATTAAAAGCGCCGACTAATCAGAATTCCGTTACAGCCGCATAAAGAAGCGTGTAAGCAAAAGGCGCCGCGCGACAAAAGAAATTCCTAATTGCAAAATTCCTATCTAATGCGAAAAAGTAAGAAGCTCACGTTCCGGAAGGGAAGTCTGAAATTTCGAGGGCCATCGGGCTCGAYAATATTTGAAACGAATTCAAAAAGAAATTCAAAAAGAGCGAAGCAAATTCCCGTGCGATGTCTGTCCCCAAAAAGTTCTGAAACCGACCCAAAAACAAACGCCGTCAACATTTATTAATCGCGCGCTTGGCTGCGCGCCAGCCACTCAACCGACCAATTAACCGATCGTCCCGGGACTCACCCARCCCTGAACCCATCCATCCGAAAAGAACGTCGAAAAAGACGAAGAAGCGGGGGTACCGATGCAATTTCCCATCCATCCCAATCTCYCGTAATTGGCCCAACCTCCCYAGCTTAGGACCCCTCATTGTAACTGCGCAGAAAGTTGTGCGTTACAGAAAGTGGTTTGTCGCATATATGACGCCCAGGGGGTTCCAATATTAGCAAGCTCCTGCTTACTTRTACACACGTGTCGATCTCTCTAATTGACCGACACGCGAAGCTCTTCTTTCTATGCCTCTTACCGTTCGAAGGAGTGTGGATATCGTCCATTGTGGCAACACARCTCTACTACTAATTCCTCAGGGAGGGTCATCGACAATCCAAGGAGGGGATTACACGTGTCGTTGTCATGACGCGTGCCCATCATTCATACATCAACGAGCGTCGGGGAGGGGAAAGGGGAGATGGTACATGCAGGGGTGGCGCGGGGGAGGGTTGATGGGTAGCAAGGGAAGGAAGCTCTCCATTCCAGCCACCATCTCCGGAGGTTCCCGGTAACGAATGATCCGGTGAAAGCAAGGGAATTGGTTACCYGTGTGGGGGAGGGACGCAAGGTATTCGGGATAGAGGGTGGTAAAGGTTCGGAAAAACGCCRCGCGAAAGTGATCGTGGTTCTCGCATGTGGGGATAGTCCCCGTAATCATGCGRWATACCTCGATCATGTTGTGGCTTCGCCACGCGGCACTAAGGAAAAGGATATGAAGGGAGAAGACGGGGCGAGCACATCGGGTGGAAGGGTGGGGATGAACAGTGACAGCGAGACGGGTGGTGTAGAAGAAGCGGAAGGTATCGATGGGGAAGGGGTTGTCGGGGAAGGTGACGCGAGTAGAGATCTGGCGGAAAGAGAGGTGGTCAAGGGGACGGCGGGATAASGACTGGGGAYGAAGCCCGATGCCCCGCATCGGTACGTGGACGACTTGGTGGGCGGTCGGAGGCGGAGGGGGAGGGGGATTGGCTTCGTCGCCGTYGCGCTGGTGCGRCCAAAGTCTYGGCAGCTGTCTCTCCATCCTCRRRCTTAGGTGGCTCCAAATCTCGGGCCGGATCACYGGTGCACGGCSGACCGGCTGCGCTGGCGAACTCTAACTGTCTCTTCCCGACCRCGATTTTTTCCCTCTTTTGCGCTCGAGCCTCGTCGCGCACTTCCTCCTCAAATCCTTCCCACTCCGACTCTTCCAACTCTTCCCGATCTTCTTCTTCTTCGTCGTCATCTTGCTCTTCTTCCGCCTCCTCTTCACTTTGCTCCCCTTCGCTGTGCTCACTATAACTCCCCTCTTCRKGAGTTTCTTCYTCGTCGGTCTCTTCTTCGATCTCTTCGTCCTCTTTCGAGMTTTCTTCTTCCGCTTCTWTTTCTACCTCCTCATTCTCGGAAGCCGTCCGATCTTGGAAGTAGGCGAGGTCCATTATCTCGTGCGGGTCCAAATAATCGCGCTGTAAAGGTGGGTTGCGGCCTCTTCCGGGTTCCTCCAAGCACACCGACCACTGAACATATGGCGCCAAGGTCCGCGTGAGAACGTGCGGGACCTGGCTGTCGTCGCTCAGGGAGACGATCTCAAGAGGGAGATCGTCTGCGAGCTATGCAAGGGGGGCCGATAAGTCTTGTACGATCAGTTGGCGATGATCGGGCCGCACTGATCTGAAGAGGAATCCGGACAGATCGCCTTCCACCTCCGTTCGCCACGCCTGGATGATAAGCAGTTCGAGGTACTCGGCCCACTAGCGGTGATCCCCGTGCCGCGTCCACGTGACCCTTACTCCGACCAGACACACCGACAACTCTACGAAGTGCTCTCGCCAACGCCTCCACTGCTGGGGATCGAGGAGGGGGACAACGAGGGATTCCAGACACAAGGAAAGGTGCGGATCGACTCCGGATTGCCAGAAAGTGGGAAAGAAGGAGGAGAGGTCGAAAGTGGAGATCGGGGATGGGTTTATTGAGGACGGGGGAAGGGGACGAGTTCCGGGAGCACCACCGCCGGCTCGTGCTGGAAGGTTCGGATCCCGTCCGTGGGAAAAAGGTTATCTCCATGGGGCGAACGATTGCACTCCGCCTCCAACTGCTGCGCCCAGAGCCGGAGCGACGTCGTGATGGTTGTATGCCACAGCGGGCTGATGGTGCTGATGTCGCCATTGAAGGCGACCACTGTAGACACGTGGCTGATTCCGGGAGCCGACCACTAATGAACTGCTACTGCCTCCGCCAACACAACTGCCCGGGAACTGCCTGCAAAGCGAAATTCAGCGGTTGCGTACACTCCCCGAGTACAGAAGAATTGCGCAAGTCGCCGAAGGTCCGGACTGAGCCGCAGATGGTGAACTTGTCGGATCGCCRAGATGKGACACCGTGGCACCASCAGGGTATCGCGGAGAGCTCGCTCCGTAAAAAAACTCATGGCGATGGCGATGAGGACGGGGTAACGGAAGGAGAACAAGAAGGAGACGGAGAGACAGTCGATAAGCAGTCGTCGTCCTCTTCCGTAGCGGAGGAGGAATCGGATGAATGCGAAGATGGGGAAGGTAGAAGGAGACGAAGGTAGGACATGTGGCGGATGATCGAACGAGCCGATCGGCTGCCGGAGACCTCAGGCACAAGCTGCACGGTGGTCACGCCATTGGGTTCGAGCTCAATCACGAGGAATCGCCCAAACAATCGTGGCGCTAGCTTGCCCTGGTGAGCACATTTCCTCACCTGCACGATGTCCCCCAATTTGTACTGGGGCCGTGGACATGCGTTCCCGTTCCGGGCCTCGTAGCTTCGGACTTGCCAGCCATAGGCCAACTCGGTCATTTTCTGGCATTTTCGAGCTAGCCTGGGGAGGGGCCGTTCCATTAACTCTAAGTGYCGCTTKGCCTTGTCTCGCGCTGTGGCCCTTGTCGGTCGGCGGTTAAGTGTTGATTCGTTAGAGAGGCTTGGTATYGAAACGCAAGCGGCRCTATTAGTCCTTAATTGGAAGGGGCTCAGGCCCATCGATTCATGGGGCGTTACACGATGGACCGCTAGGATGTGGTCGACGATATCGGGCCAGGGCCTCGGATCCCGTGCCTCGATGTTTCGTCGCAGTGCTGTCTTTATCACCCTGTTGGCATTTTCTACCAGCCCATTGGATTGTGACATATGGGGCGTGGTGTTCCGCACAGCGACACCGTGTATGACCAGGTTCCTTAATACTTCCCATCTGAATTCTGCCCCGTTATTGGTCAGGATCTCTTCCGTATCCTGGTGCATCCCGAGAAAACGGTTAACATACCGTGTGATTTCGGCGGCTTGTCSMGTGCAACACGGGTAGGCCTCGATCCATTTCGRAAAATGATCGACAAATACCAATAGGACTGAATACTCACAGCTATTAGGACCAGGAGGTACCACAATATCAGTGGTATCCATACTCACCCTCTGGAACGGCCGCTCAACTACCGTGGGAGCTATCGCTCCCGGCGGCTGGATCGGCGCCTTGTCAGCAGTGCAGAGTCGCCGCAGACTTGACAGTTTGCGACGATGAATTTCACATCGTCCCAAATAATGGACCAATACCACTAATTTTTGTCGATTGCTGACTCAGAAATCCATACGGCAAAATGGGCTGCCGTTTCCTCAAGTGTCGTCTTCACCCAGTCGTACCTCATGAACAGATGAAGTACAACCATCCAAATCCCACTACCGTTCGTTTTCTGTTTTTCCAACCTACCCTCTATCCATCGATAATCCCGAGCCCTTTCGTTAGCCCTCCTCCGATCTTCCTTGGTGAAATCCCAGAGGGGGTTACCAACTAAAGTGGCAATCAAAGCGATGCCGGTCCATACTTCGGCCCTTCAAAATTTCCGGGTCTTTTCCAACCCTTCTGACGTGGCATCCAGAAAGCGAGCCTCGGTCGGAATCTTGTCAACTTGACACAAGGGGCATAACCACAGTTTATTGTCGTTCCGGTATTGGATGCACGAGCCAYGGGCTCGTGTGACACATTGTCRGCAGTCTATCCATTCTGCATACCCYTCCCCGTTAGGACACATGGAGACAGAGTATACGCGAGAAATTGCTTCGCAAAAATAGCAAAATTTATCAGGAAGGGAGATAATAGACAAAGAGGAGATGGGAAGAAGAGGCGTAGTGAGGTTACCTTCGTCACCCATTGCCACCGGTCTGCTTCTTGCCACGTRGGAGAACTGCCACTTGTCCGTACTTAGGCCCGTTTGCCGGTTCTGACTCCTTCCACGGAGTGATTTCCTTGCCCTTCGRTACTTTAGCGGRCCGATGCAGACTTGTCAGTCCGTCTGCGTTGCCGTGTCTCTCTGTCTTCCGGTGATGCTGTCAAAGTCGTACTCCTGTAGTCGTACCGCCCAATGTCCAATCATGCCCGTGTAATTAGTGAGCTTCTTCAAGGCCAACAAAGGCTCGTGATCCGTCACGAGGCGAAACTTCTGCCCATAGAGATACGGATGGAAGTATTGGATTCCCCAGACTCTTGCATAGCATTCGCCTTGGGGTGCTGAGTCACTCCTTCGTTCATTTGGCACCGTTCACGACGCGTACTCGATGACATGTTCGTGACCATCGTTCCCCTTCTGCACTAGAATAACAGAAATAGCTTCCAGTTGCCAGTCTGTGATAAGAATGAACTGTTTCGAGGGGTCCTGTCGGATCAAAATAGGTGTCATCGCCAGAGCGTCTTTGAGGGTCGCGAAGGCCTGCTCACACTCCGCGTCCCAGCTGAGAGGCTTGTCCTTTCGTAACAGGTTTGTTAGCGGTCATGCAATCGCAGSGAAGCCTTTGATGAAACGGCGATAGTACGATGCCAAACCCAAGAAGGCTCGAACCTACGTCAGCKACGTGGGAACCGGAGCTTCTCTCACCGGCGCGACCTTTCTCGAGTCAGACCGCAATCCTCCACGTGTCACGACGTAGCCGAAGAACGAAATTTCCGAGAAGAAAAAATCGCTCTTTTCGAGTGCAATCTTGAACCCAGCGTCCCTCAGCGTTCCCAGCGTCCACTCAATGTGTTGTGCATGCCCATGATAGGTCTCYGAGTAGACAAGGATATCATCCATGTATACGATCACGCAGAAGTTGATCGTTCCCTAGGTTAGCCACGTCTTGTTGAGGAATTCCTGGAATGTCATGTTCATCGCTCGCTGAAATGCGACAAGCACGTTGCAAATCCCCATCGGACACCGAACCCACTGCCACGTGGCCTCAAACAGCACGAAGGTCGTCTTTGGCCAATCTTCCTCCTTAACCAGAATGTGATGGAAGCCATGCCGAATATCAAACTTGCTAAAATAATTAGCGCATCCAATCGCATCTAGCGAATCATCAATCCGGGGGAGGGGATACACATCTTTAATCGTGATTTCATTCAACTTGCGATAATCGATGCATATGTGAATTGATCCGTTCTTCTTCGCTACTAACACTACTGGAAATGACCATGGTCCAGGGGCGGGTTCAATCCACCCSCTTGCTTCGAATTCCCGAATTCGTTGGAGAGCCTTTTTCCCTTCTATCAGAGAGTATCGGTAGGGCTTACAATGGATTGGGGAATGATTTCCCGTCTGAATTTCGTGTTGAATAACCAAGGACAAGCCAATGTTAGTATCCGCTACGCTAATCGCTCCCTGATATTCCGTAAGAATATCTGCAATCACMCGGTGAATCTCATCAGGTACGTACTGTGGGACGTGTAACTCAAATAGCTGATCCCAGATCCGTACGTYGATCTGCTTCGTGCGTGACTGTTTCGCCACATCGGGTGGTGACGCGAAGATAAACGAATGGTCTGATCGCCAAGAGAACACCGTGGCCATCATCTGGGCGTCTTCCTCCCGGATGGCCACGTGTCCTTCCAGGTTGATCCCATTGCAGATATCCTGCCACGGTACGGTTTTAGTTACAATCTTTACTCTAAGTTCTTCTGATTCGGCCTCAAGACTACCAGGGGGTTCCAAAGAACTGGCTTTCGCCCCCAAGCGTAGCAATCGTACTTCTTTTGCAGGTGTCAGCAGAGACTTTGGTAAATCTGTAATATCGTAGTAGTGCTTTTTGTTGTTGTATCGGGCGAGGAGAGGGGAGATTCCTTCGTACAGGGTTTGAGGGGGTTCCAAGGAATCGACCATCCTCGAAATCTATACGAGGGGTTCACCCAAAATCATCGCCTTGGTCCTTTGGATGTTCCGACTGGTTAGATGCATCGTTCTTGCGATCGTTTTGAGCGGCGGGTAACAAATACGTTGTCGCGCTAGCTTCCGGATTTCCGGATAATTTTTGTCACTGCTATCTGCATCCCTTGATGATGACTTATAGTCTGCCAACATCTTATTCGTTAAAACAGTTCATTATTGTGTGTACTATTTTGAAACGAATTTATGACACAGTGTATAGTCTGGTGTAGTATTCCAGATCCGGATACATCCRAACAAGGAGTAAAGCAACTTTGAGGCGAGGAGCACAGTCAGTACATATATCTGYTGCGCTCCTCTTGTGGTTCGGA